AATGCTTTGGTTGTTTACGGGAGGTTTTCTGAAGCGTTGATGATGCAGTCGCAGAAGAGCCGGTGTCCCTGTCTGAATCAGACATAGACGAACTGCCCCCCTTTACCGAGCTTACGCCGCTTCTGCCGACGCACCGGCATCCTTTAGATAAATAAGGAGCTTCTAGCCAGCCACACTCAGGAAGATGTATATAAACGGGGGAATTTCTTGCGTAAATTAATCTAATTATATTTTTTTGCGCAGACGTTTGTGCAAATCACAGTGATTGATTCTGCGCCGCGCAGCACTCGGCGCGGGCCGTGGAGCCGTCCGACACAGTTCTGATTTAGACGCAGTTTTCATCTGAATGGAATAGCAACATCGTCTGTAGATGATTTCAAGTAACGCTGAACCAGCATTGCCAGATGGTATATTTCTATACCAGATTTCACAAATCTGGTATTTTCAAAAGGTGTCTGGTATNGAATGCAGTTAAACTTATTCACTCATTACATTGTCACCGAATTTTTACTTCAATTTAAGAGATTAAGACACCAGTCTTTCATTCGCCTTTATCGAACTAGATAGAAGGGTTGTTGCCAAATCAAACTCAAAGTAGGTAACACGGTTACCTCACCCGCAACGTGAGACATCCACCCGGCAACAACGCCTGGCACCCCCACAGCCCCATGGGGTAAGATGGGACACACCTAAAACTGCATTTACAGTAGAACCTTGGTTAGCAGAGGCTCCAGTTAACAAAAAATCAATTACAACAAAGAACTTGATTACATTTACCTCACTCAGCAAAAACTTTATTGGCAATGAAAAATTAATGCATCATCGGTCATCACAAAATTATACATAGAATGTTATTGGTAGAATTGAGCACTGGAGTCTGGGCAACATCAAATGAAAAGTAATTAATCTAAACAATAATTTATTTCTTCAGAAAATATGATGGTTTTCACTAAAAATATATTCATTGATGTTTCAGGTATGTTTTTACAATCTTTTTTCGTCATTAGTTAATTCACTTGACCCAATTAAAATGGTGCAAAATTAAAAGCCCAGTCCTGTAAGCCTACAGATAGAGAGGAAATGCTATCTGGCTGCTGACATGAAGCTGGCAGTGAACAAGTTTATTGTCAATGCTAAATGGCATGTCCATGGATACCAGGGTTGGCAATGATTAAGTGAAACTGATTAAATCATGTGATTAAATCATTTAATTTTTTTATAAAAAATTGTGACTTTTTTTATTTTTTGATTTTTTAATGAGTGGCAGTCCCTAAATTATTTTGCGGTATTGTTCTTCATAGTTTTAGTATAAATTTACTATGACAAATAGGAATATAAACCTGTTGCCTTTTGTGTCTAATTCAAGATTAGACTTTTCCTACTTGTTTCTGAAATTTGGCGGCTCCAACTGGACAAATTTTCAATACATTTGGAATCTTGCGGCCCAATCCAGCATTTTTGTTAATAATTAGATGGGAGTTGATTCATCAGGCAGAAATTGCACAGTTCGGGAAATGGCGGGAAAGCTCTAGTTGCGGCCCTAATTGTAGCTGTAAGTTTTCCATGCTTGGTATTGATTAAATCAAAATGATAATATCATTTAATTAAATCATGTGATTAAATCACTTGATATTTTATAAAAAAATCATAATTTTTTCCTGATTTTTTTGTCTTTTTTCAATTTTTTTATATATTTAAATATATTGAGTGGCAGTCTTTAATTTATTTTTAGGTATTGTTATTCATGGTTTAGTATAAATGTACTATGAATGACAAATTGGTATATAATCTTGTAGCCTTTAATGTGCATTAGGTTCTAATAAATTGAATGTTTTTGATACAGAGGCATCAAGTGTTGCAATACATTGTTCATAGATAGCAGCTTACCTAATTCTTATAAGGCTATAAGTAGTCTTTAACTATTTGACTATTTGTTATATATTGATTACAATATGTAATTTAAATGTGCAATATCAGGAAGATGGTGTCTATTAGCTGCCACACACTGTTGGAATCATTCTCGTAAGTTTCCTACAGCACGTTCACAAATATGGCAAGATACGGCCATAACCTCTGCTGCAATAATCCGTCCCCTTAGCTGTGGTAGGGTGTGATGGTGACTTTTGAACATCTTCTCTTTTAGATGTGCCTAAAGATAGAAATCGCAAATGCTCAAATCAGGAGACCTTGCAGGCCACTGTAAATCACCCCTCAGAGACACCAGACGTCCAGGAAACATGCATTTCAAAACATTGAGTGACATTCGGGCTGTGTGAGCAGTAGCCCCATCCTGCTGGAACCACATGTCTCCCAATGCTTCATTTTCAACAAAGTTTTCCATCCTGGGCAGCAAGAAATTTTGCAACATTGCAGCATAGCAATCGGAATTCACTGTCATGGTTACCGGTACTCCCTCTCCGAGAATGACTCCAACAGTGTGTTGCAGCTAACAGTCCCCATCTTCCAGATAATAACAGATATTGTTTTCAAAACATAAGTATTCTAAATGGTATGCTATGCTAACCTCCAGGAAAATAAACTTTATTATTTATGTACCTCCATTACTCTTTTATTTTGCCTCAAAACTGCTCAATCAGTTCTGCCCCACCCTGTATATTGAGAGGTTGAAATTGTATTGACCTTTTAGGCAATTTGAAAGATTTTCCACCCTAATATGAGTATTTTAATTGAAATATTTAATTTCAATCTTTAAATACGTATGTGTATTTAAAACTAGAAACAAAACAATTACAATTATAAAACTATATATAAAATAATTAAATGAAGTGAATGCAAATAAAATGTTTGAATTGTGCACATGTTTATTTCAAACAGTATATTAGATTTTCTCATAACTTAGTCTCGTTTCAAGTCGTTCGAGGTTTGTTTGGTTATCATTCAGTTCATGTTTAGTAATGGTTTATAGGTCTGAATTAAATGGGAACAGTGCAGTAAGTCACTCAGTCACTACTAGTTAGTAGTTGGTGTGTATAGAGGGTAGAGTCTGGTAGATTTATAGGACATGAAACTAGTAGATCTATTTATAGGGTAAACGCGGTATATTCCGACATCATAGGTAATTCCGTCACCTCTCCAGCTTTTCCTTTATATTAAGCTTTGTTTTAGTTCCATGCGTTCATTGATGGTTGAAATGGTGACATCATACATTTGCGTGTCGAAATACTGCAAAAACACTAGGTCTTGGCCATCTAGTGATGACGTTTCATCGTTGCTGACGCGTAGTGAAGTGTTTTGAGAGTCATGTGAAGGCAACAGAACTTACGTAACGCATACGGTTTTTTTTTAGTTTTACATTTCTCGATGCGTCCTTAATGTGTCGGAATATACCGCGTTTACCCTAGTGCTGTGCACTGTGTTATCAGCTACTACCTACCTACCACGTTCACCCTACATTTAGAATAAATTGTGACTATATTATTATAATTAAAGTGTACCTATATAAAATTTGGAGTACAGGCAATATGAACCTCTTTTTATTGCATTTCAGCTCAGAATAGGCTACCTACCTAACCCCGAGGCCCGAGCTGGTATGGAAAACATTTTCTCTGGCCTCTGCAATAGAGCATCGCCCAAATGCAGTGCAGACAGGAGAAGGAAAAAATTTGTGTTGCTTGCAGAATTTTCATCATGTTGATTTGGAATCTCAGAACTTATTACAAATTAAGTGTCAAAAATGCATTATACCTAGCTAGATAGCTAGTACTATCTTTGAACAATGTTAATAAATGTTCTACATAGTATTTCCCTATGGTACCTAATGAAATGTCCCTAGACCCTAGGCCCCTAGGGTCCATTTTAATAAATATTTCACTTACCCTGTAGCATGGCGACTTTAGTGAGGTCAGAGGTGGCGACCTTAGTGGCATTGACGGTACTGTAGTAAATTTAGAATGCTTATTCATGCTTAATTATTGCTTACCCAGTTTACCAAATAGTCCACGGTGGCAGTCCTGTCACCTGTGACTCCTGTCACGGTATCACCATAAAATATGGTTCGACTAGAGAAACTCCGAATTGTAATATTAAGTTAAAAACCTCCACTGCTGAGTGCAGATTCAAGGATGAAATTGAATTTATTCAGTTTCACTCTCTGTCTCTCGCTCATGTTGAAATTTTGAACCATCAATATTCTGTACGCGTGTACCCGGGGGCCCAGGTTACTTACTTGGTTACTTGGTTAAGATGAGGCGCGTCACCGACTGAAGTATTGGCGCCCCCATTCAGCATCTTCGTGGATTACTAAATTTTGTCAAGCATGTTGGTGTCTTGGAGGTACTTGATAATTATATCAGCAGGAAATTCAGGGGCTATGAGCGAGGACAGGCTGAAGGAGACTCCGAGGCGGATGCAAGCAGCTTTCAGTTGGTTGCGATGAGGAGACAGTGCAGGGCCGTTAATGAAGAGGTGGTCAAGAGTGAGCCGGCATTGACATGAGGAGCACTGGTATGGGGGTGAGCTTGTGAAGTGATGGCCATGCGTCAGTAGGCAGACTCCCAGTCGANCGAATCTCGGTGACCACACAACGTTTCCAAACTCTAGACTCGGGCGTACGACGGCAACAAACAACTGCTTCATCGTTTCTGCATCTAGGAACTCGTATGAGCGTCTGATTAGTCCAAGAAGTTTGTTGGATGTGTTAGCTTGCGTTTCAACATGCTTAGAAAATTTCAGCTCCTTGTCGATATAAACTCCAAGATCTTTTTCCACACTAGACTTTTCAATCATTACTCTCTCGTTGCAACCATGTCTTCTCATACTGTAATCTTGCTGTTCATTGTTTTTTCCGAGGTGAAGTACTTTACACTTGTCAGCAAGTCAGAGGAACATGTTCCTATATTTACTTACAACTATACCAAGTGTAATTTCATTCATGGATATCATCAATGACACATTAGTTAACAGAGTCATCATTGATGTCCTGCATGTAGCACTGTACGTACCTATATTTCCCAGGCAAAACTAGGTCACAAATACTCGCACAAAAGCAAGAAGTGTATCGCTATTTGGACTGAGTCTCGTTTTTTTTAGTATACAATTGGCTCGCTACTATACAATAAAAACGGCATTTACCGTACCAACTATGTATATTTTTGTTGAAGGGGCACAATAATGCCTAAGGGTGTTTATATAGTGCTAGAAATTGTTGTTCCATATTTGGTTAAAGAATAGACATCGTTACAATCGGAGTATGGCGCTCCCTGAGTCACTGCCGGCACACTAAATTTGCAGAAAACATGATCACAAAAAAATATGATTTTAAAAAAATCAATAACTGTAGTAAGGCGCTCACGGAATGAAGAACTTTTGTTCGTCGATATCTAAATCAGTCATAGGCAGACTCAAAAATACAAAATACGTAAGTGAACACATGAAAAATCATCTTCTGTAGCGATATCTTTTGAAATGGAACCACAATTGGAAAATATTATTGTGAAATTGACATCTGAAGCCGCGTTTGTACGAGTACTCCCACTCCCTATTGACTATTTTGAAGGCAATATCTTCGTATGGAGGTCCTGCAGTAAATTTTAGCATGGCAAAGTCGGGGCTATCCTTGATGGGTATCAGCTCATACTGAGGAGTGTCCGCCTTCTCTATGAGGTCGGGATAGAAGATGTTGAACTTGTAGCCTTGGACAATTTTCGGAGGAGGGTTATCCATATCGTAATGGGTCTGGTTGTATTTGTTCCATTCAAATCCTGGAAATAGAAATAGAGATGCGTTCGGTTTATAAAGAGACAATTAGGAACCAGGAGCAGAAAAGTGCTACAGGATGCTTGGAAGTTTATAGTATAAAAACGAGATCCAATTTCATGACTCATTACACATTCTGGATATTACTCCTTGATGACCAGAACTCAGAAGATATACAGAACTGAGAGATTCATGACACCTTTGAAATTCAAAGATACAGGATACAAGGGACACTCACCAGTGTGCACTCTGTTGAAGTAGCGAGGTTTGCGGGGCCTGTATTTGTCCGACCACAGGTACTGCTGAGGATCCAATTTTGTTTCCACGCTAAACTGCACTTCATCACTGGAAAAATTTACACATTAAAAATTCAGAATACTCTTCCAATATAAAAAATGATGTTGCTTGGCATTTAATTCTAAAATTTGGAATAAACAAACAATTCCAACAAATTTGATACCCAAGATAGGTACTACAATAAAAAATGTTACTCACGCGGTCATGTTCTTTTGAGCTTCCTTTTGGAGACGTCTCTCTTCCTCAGTAAGTTCCTCTCTCTGTCGGCAATTCTGGCCTTCCCTAACTTCCTTCAGCACAGATGACCGTTGCCACTCAAGTCTCTTGTCATCTTCCTCTTCTTCTATAATATCTGTGCCCGCCTCCAGATTATCTATCTTAATGAGCTTGGGTGAGAAGCGTTCATGGCTATAAGCGGCTAATGCCATAGCCACCATCTCGTCACACTTGTCGTTCTGTGAATTATAGCGAGCAACCTCTTCGTCAGTGTCGCACGAGCTGTCCTGTGATGAGGATGTTGCAGCACTTGTTTCGCCTGACTGAATTGGAGCCGATGGACCAGCAACCAACGATGCTTCCATCAAACTAAAAAATTTAGGTAATTATTATTTTTTTGGTTGAAAATTTCAATCATTTATTTTTCAATTTAATTCCCCAATATATAAATTTTATTCTGACAGACTAGCTATTATTTGGAAGACAGTCAATAAAAATACACACTAATGACAAGGATTAAGCGATGAACACAAGCGAGGCAATTTACCTGGGGTCAATGGGCTGGACTCCTTGCTCAGCTTTGAGCAGCTCCAGTTTGTGCTTGAGGCTGTCACGGTGACGCTCACGGAGTCGCGCACGAGCCTGAAATGCTAAAGGCAAATTCGAGCTGAAAATCAAGATTTTATTTCAATTCTCATCTACCAATTGAGTGCTACGTGAACTTCAGAAAGCAGGCAGCAATAGTAGACATTTTGCCCTCTCCAATATCCAAGATTCAGGTCCTTCATAATTCATGATTTAAAAACTTCATGATTCATGATTTTGAATCACTATGAAGTTATTTTATCTTTAGTTCAAGGCAGTTAAGAAAACATTGAATAGCAATTTCAATGCATTCAATTTCAATCACAAAATTAGTCTATGGAATTCAATCACGAATGTGTAAATTCTCACCTTTGAGCTGACTGAGCAGACTTTCCCAGTAACCAACGTCAACGCCGGCGGTGTTCCCAGACAGCTTCGCCTCTATGCTAGCCTGCAGCTTGTTCAGTTCGGCAACCGTCTTGTTCCTGAACATGGTAGTCACCTGGCAACGATGGAGACATGTTAATTATCTAATTTCAAGTTTGATGCAAGATTCATGTACTATGATACTGTATTTTATACAATAACACGATAATTGGCTGCAATCTGAATAATTGAAAACACTGACATAGAAAGAGGTCAGAAGAACAAATATCCACCTTTGCACCATCCTGAATTTCTGCTAGCATGCTCACTTCCCTAGCAACAGCGCTGTGTTTGAGAGCAACGCAGGACTAGCACGCTCACCTCGCCGACAGCAGCGCTGTGTTTGAGAGCAATGCAGGACTAGCACGCTCACCTCGCCGACAACAGCGCTGTGTTTAAGCACGCTCACCTCGCCGGCAACAGCGCTGTGTTTGAGAGCAACACAGGAATAGCACGATCACCTTTCCGACAACAGCGCTGTGTTTGAGAGCAACACAGGACTAGCACGCTCACCTCGCCGGCAACAGCGCTGTGAATGCCATGTCGCTGAGAGGCGCTAGTCGCCGCCGTGTCAGTAGCAGCATCACGCATCTTAAGGCGCCGGATTTCGTCCAGCACGATGATTGTCAGGTCACTCCAGTACCACTGGTTTTTGCTCTGGAAATGATCAGAATGGGTTTCAAGTAGAAGATACATAAACTACAATAGCATAATTACTTTCTTTTGAGTTCATAAACCTACCTAAGTCAGTACACCTTAAGTTGTTCTGGCTTTCAATACAAAGTGAATTATTCAAACAAATTCTGGTTACATAGAACGCAATCGACTCATCATTTCATAAAAAGTATGGTGCTATCAATTATTTCCTTATTAAATTATCCTCAAATAATGAATGCTGTTTCAGCTTAATCATATCATAGTAGCCAGATTACTTCATATGCTCATCTTGGTCCAGAAAGAAATTAATTCACATTCCCTCCCTCCCTCCTCTCCAAAAGAAGCCGTGTCGATTGTGAAGCACTTACATCCCTGTCGAGCTGCTGGTAAACTTTGATGTCTTCCATGAGGTCTTCCAGGTCGTTAAGAGTGAGTCCTGTGAGGTGTGTGTAGGGTTCATGCACATGCAGGACTCCAGTGCTTGTGAGCTCACACTCACTGCTGATGTACTGAGCTAACAAATCTATTGGTTTTGCCCGGCCGTCTTCAACACGGATCTGGGAACGAATTCTGCAAGTAGGACAATATTAGTAAACTAGCAGGAATATCCTGGTTAGAAATTTGTGAAATGTTTTAATCCCCTAATCTATAATCATGATGATAATAATGAGTATGTATTCTTATTTTCAAGCCCTTATTTTACATAGAAGATAGGACAGGACTTCTATTTTCTTATTATTTCATAATATGGAAAAACCTTTTTTTTTATTTAAATTAAAACCTTACAATTGCAGAATCAAAATTTAATTTTACATTCAATCATTCCCTCTTTTTCATGTCCTCCCACTAAGGATAAAATTTAAGGACCTGGTAATATCCTGATATGATATGTGTCCTGGATGTGCACCCCAACAGCCACTATATATTTGTGGTGATTGGCTCCAAACACACTCACAAACTTTTACTTTTATATAGTATGTAACTTTTTACTTTTATATACCAGTATAACTTTTTTACAAACTTTACTTTTATATAAATATAAATTGTCTTTTGCTATGCTACAGTAATTTACCTTATGGGCAAGTTATCATGGCAACTTGGAATATTTACTTCACTTGGGCATTTTATTAAGCATTAGGATTTTGACCATTGTGAAAACCGAATCGATAAAAAAAGGGTTCATATTTGTATCAGAGCTGTTATCAATATGTTACACAACATAAAAAATCCTGAGAAAAACAGTCTGTACTTTGAAAATTAATTAATATCTCATTCTGTCGTTAATGCATCTGAGAGACAAAATGTTGCAGCTAAAGTAATTTATTATGAGGTTGAGTAGAGAGTAGTCCCCACATAAATGACAATGCTTGAGCCTTGGAAGAAAATGAATATAGACTTGAAGTGAGTGGAAAAGTTTTGATCATAAGATTCTGAAAAGGAGAGACAAATAACTATAGTACCAGTATTATTATGGTTGATAGCAACTTTGTATATTAAGTCATAATAAAATGCCTGTTACCAGCTTGCTGCAAAATGCAAAAAGAGTTGAAATAATAGAAGTCTTTACCTGGCTTGCTCCAACTGGAAGTTATCCTCCTGCTTTGAGAACTGCGAAAACTGAGCCGCTTCTCTCTGCCGTTGCTCCAGTTCCACCAGTGCTTCACGCTCAGCTCTCTCCAGCTCGCGCTCCAGACGTCTTTTTTTCACCTTTTCAAGTTCAAGTCTGTTTTCTTCCATTTTAGCACGATTCCTTTTTTCTATTTCTTCCCTGGTACACAACAAGGCTTCATTAATAACTTTGAAAACAACAGTTACAAACTCTGTTAGAGAAATTATTACTTCATAGTGTGGAAATGCTTTATTCACCAAGTAAAAATGTTCTCAAGTCTAAAAAAAATTCACAATTCAGTACAGAAGTTTAAGAGGCCAATGCTTGCCAACAACTTTCAATAATTCACCACTAACTGTTAATAATTCTTTTGTTAAAAAGCCAAGTTAACAACTAACAAGACATTCATGAACTATTAATGTCATCATACAAATGAAGATATTCTCAAAAACCAAATGATTACTTACTTTGAGAGGTCTGCCACACCTTCTTTCAACAGCTTTTCCTTCCACACAAAAGTTTCCAGGAGATTGTTATCACCATATGGGTTATCTGCATTAGTGTAGTGGAGATACTCGCTGTCCCAACCCATTTTCTCTTTACGTTTGCGTTCTTTCAATTCCTGGTAAGCAATATGTATATGTAATCAGTTTTAATTAAAAATACAATGTTTCATAATATTCCAAATTTATAACTTTGTGTCGTAATATTCCAAATTTATAACTTAATATGGGCCTACAAAATTTAGTAAAGTAGGACAGCTTGGAATAAAATACCTAGATCATATTAATGATGCATTGAAAAATTCACAGAGCTTAAAAGCATTGACTTTTTGGTGCAAAATTATAAAATCTGGGACAGAAAGAACCAATTGCAGTATGTTTCTACAAGCTAGGCACCCACAGATATTGGAACAACATTAATACACAAAATTCAATAATGAAATTTTTGCATAAAGCAACAGTTTATAGTTAATTAACAAGTGATTGTATATATTATTAATAAAATAGAACAAGAAATCATTATTAAACTTTTGCAATTTAGTAAAGAAAATTCAATTCCTAAAAAAACTTGACAGTAAAAAATGTGCAGTTCAAACCTTCTTTTGGAGACGACGTAATCTTTTTTCTTCTGGAGTTTCTATTGCTTTCAAAAGTTCTTTCTTTTTCTTCTTTTCAGCCAGCTGACGTAGCCGCTCAGCTTCTAGTTTCTTCAACAATTTCACCTCATCTTCTTCAGAACTACAAGATGATGATCTACTCTTCTTTTTTTTCTTTTTGTGTTGCTTAGAAGTTTTAGTTCTTACTGATTTTTTTGAATAATGGCTTTCATCTGATGAGCTAGAAGAACTTCTTCTTTGAGACCTTCTTTTGGAATGTTTTTTCCTCTCCAGTGATTTAGATGAGTGCTGATGAGATGATTTAGAATATTTTTCCACAGATTGAGATCTAGATTTTTTTCCAGAAGATGACTTATGAGCATGAGACTTAGTTGACTTCATTTCATCATACCTAGAAGATTTCTTGTCATAATTGCAAAATTTTCTGCTGGGGCTTCTGCTAACATGATCCATGATTTAAAATTCAATAGAAATACACTATGAACTTGCTGGTTTGGAGAAACAAATTCCAAGACAATTAACCAACATACTCAGCTAAACAATCCAAGCCACACTGCAAAGAGAGTTCCAACAAGAATATAGTGTCACTGCTTCTATAAGATTTTCACAAGCAAGATTGACATTCAATAACTACTTCTGCAAGACATTGCCAATTTAAATGAGGAAGAGAATATTTAATATTATATTATATACTTTGAAGCTAAGAAATTACATTATAATGTACATATATATACTGTCAAATGGGGTAAAAAGGGACAGTTTTGAGCATTTTTTGTCAATTACTTCTTACAATGAAACATTTCAGAAACAAGTTTAGGCTCATTTTATAGCTTTTTGTGAGGGCTATCAAATGGCATCTTCAAAAAATTCCATATGCTATTTGTAAGGCGCTAGACGCGATATAAAAGGCTCCTGAATTAATCTTGAAATGGGGTAAAAAGGGACACTTGAAATAAAACTCAATTTCAAACATTTGAAGCATGCAGAGTGTACTCATTTATTACTAACAGTACTCTGGAGTCCTCCTCTTTCATTGTAGATGATGTAGATGTAAAATAAACAATATTTTCTGTGATTTTTACTTGTTTTTCCTTTATTGATATGATATTATCATATTCATTAATAACTGTATTATTAATGTGATATTACTGTATCCATGGACATGCCATTGAGCATTAACAAGAACCTTGTCCACTGCAAGCTTCATATCAGCAGCTATGTAGCATTTCTTCTGTATCTATAAGCTAACAGGATGGTTTGTAATTTTGCACAATTTTAATCGAGTCTAGTGATTTCACTTTCTATGTACAATTTTGTGACGAACGATGATGCACTAATTTTTCGACAAGCGAATTTTTTTTTCGCTGAGCGAGGTAAATGTAATCAAAATTCTTTGTTGTTAATCAATTTTTTTGTTAACTGGAGCCTTTGCTAACTGAGGTTCTACTGTAAATGCCCAAAATGGCTGCCATTTTTTTGGAATGAGATAGGCAAATTCTGTCAATTACGTTTTCAAGCCGACACCTGGGTGCAACTTTTATGTAAGTAAAATCTTTCAATACGGTGAATATTTTTTTTTGCTCCAGTCCTTAGCAAAGGTACTTTTCCAAAATTGCACTTTTCACACTTTTTTCAGCGATTTTTAGATAGTAAATGTTTGATTTTTTAACAAGCTTTATACATAATAGATAGTAAAAATGTTGAAGTTTATGCCACTATTTTCAGTTTTGCAATATTTTGATTAGTTTAGCTGCTACAACATTTCTACGAAATGTGGGATGCGCGTCCCTATTTACCCCACCCGTCCCTTTTTACCCCCTTTGACGGTACTAGTTTAGTTAGGCAGAAGTTCTTCATTTATACAGGTTTGATTGAAGACCAGAGCATACTTTTTATCACCAATTTTCTTATTATTTTTTCAATGAGCCGAACAAAATTTCTTGCAGGGGATTGGAGATCAAAAAGCAGATTACCAAATGACATTTCACTAGAATGCGACATCAAATATATCAATATTCATTATCAAGCAAGTGAAGAGTTATTACAATGCTCAAAATTGAAATTTGGACATGACATAAGTTCATACAGAAAGTATTGTACAAGTACTATGATACTTTCTGTATGTGGGATACTTCTGTATCATCCTGAGTGCGGGACTTGAGCGCTGTATCTGACTCTAAGGAAAGCTTTCCAACTTGGGTGGAAAGTCTTTTTATAAGTGAACTTCCATTCCTAGAATTCCATAGATCCACACTGATCAACTTCCTGCCAAAAAATGAAAACATCAAGTTTACGATTACGTAGTTGCGGTCACATTAGAGCGGTCAGACTGCATTATCACATGTTCAGTTGACACTTGCTGTACAATTGGACTGTTTTTTTAGGGTAAAATTAGTTATTTTGGGTAACTGGCAAGTGGTAACACATGCATGCAACCTTGTAAATAAGTTTGTGGCTTGTAAATAGTTTTTCATTACTCAGCATAAATGGCTTTTCATTAAAAATTACCCGGCGACGCATCTTCAAAATGGTTGGCAACACTTTGGGCTTAAAAACCCATATATTGGCAACGCTGCATCCACCCTCTGCATCCTGGATTGGCGGATTTGGCGCAGATAGGCTCAGGTTTGATCCCAGCTCTGTGCGCCAGTTTTTGGTCGGAATCGGTGAGGAGGCCATGGTGGGTGGTTGAGCACAGCAGAATTTGAATTAGTGAGTTGTGATGTTGAGACCGCAACAAGCTGTGGTCCTGTGCAGGGCTGGAAAAGTCCTATTTTTGTCTGAAATATCATGGCTCTAATATCATATAATTTCAGTAGGTATGAAATCTTGTGGCTCGGATGTCATAAATTTTTGTTTGATTGAAAAATTGCAATTTGCACTTCACAAACATGTCACTTCATAAAATTTTCAACTTCCTCAATCCACATTTTTTACCATTCCTGCCAAAATATCCTGCAGAAAAAACATGAACATCGTAATGTAAACAAATCAACTAAACGTTTTGTTGAAGATCGCGCATAGTTCCGGTCATGTCAAAGCGGTCAGACTGCATTAACACAAGCTCAACTTACAGTAGAGACAAATTTTATCTTTGCTATTTGACTGTTTTAGGGTAAAGTTTGAGATTTGGGGTAACACATGCATGGACTTTGTAAATAAATTTGCGCCTCATAAATGGCTTTTCAAGGCCAACTGCCAAGATATGGAATTCACGGTGGCCGGCGCAGTGAAATGGAATCACAGCTTGAAGAAATGGAATCATGGCTGGTAAATCCATAAAACCAAGGCTTGAAAAATTCAGTCACGGCTTGCCAAGTAGACATATTCCATGCCTGGTCCTGTGGACTGTGGAGGTTCTGTAATGTTAAGAATTGGCAACAGGCCTATGGCCTAATAAACGCTGAAACCGCTATTATTATTAGTCACTATCACTGTCTCACACAGACTTCACTCTGCAGTCACCAGTCACACACTCCTCAAGTCATCGAATGTTACCTGCGCATAGTGGCAAAGCAGAGAGTTTTTTAGACTCTTCCTCAAGTTCATTTTTGAGTCCTATAAGTAGACCAGTAAAGTATCTTGGATACCAGAATTATCCTACATAAGAAATCTGTTAAAATCTTAAGTAAATGAGGAAATTAAAAATGAACTGATTCTAAAAAACTTCTGGTTTGTCACTAAAAGTATCTTGGATACCAGAATTATCCTACATAAGAAATCTGTTAAAATCTTAAGTAAATGAGGAAATTAAAAATGAACTGATTCTAAAAAACTTCTGGTTTGTCACTATGGGTCAGACTAAGGGCCTTACCTGGGAAACGAGCAGCAATCTGCAATGTAAACATTGAGCCGCCATATTTGAATTCTCTTTTTTTTCAGAATCGGCGACAGGCCTATGGCCTAATAAACGCTGAAACCGCTATTATTATTAGTCACTCTCACTGTCTCACACTGTCACACTCACACACACACACAGACGACACAGTCTTTACTCTGCAGTCCCACACTCCTCGCACATTACCTGGGAAACCACTCAAACGATGATGATGATGATGATGATGTCTTTTTTCAGGCGTCGTAAAGGACCCCAAACAGGTCAGTTGTCACACCTGGACACGGCAATTTCAACGCTTCTTTTCAAGTTTGCTTAGTCGTCACTGGTTTCTATGATTTCAAGAGCAGTAAACTTGGCAGGGCTTTAGCTTCACAATGTCCCCATCCGGCCGGTACTTGTGAGAAAGGTGATTACGGCCTTGATCACAAGGTGTTGCTCCTGTTTTGTGAGGTCACTCCCTCCCAGCAAGATTTGCACCGTCATGGTCTGTATGCCAATATTTTGCAAAGTCCTTCTCATGAGTTGGCGAGCATTGTTATATNCGGATGATGTCACTCCTCAGGCTGGCGATGTGCGGTCCCCAGTGCAGTCGGGGGGCATCAAATGTCATTCCGAGCACCCTGTGTTGTGACTTATAAGCAATGGCCTGTCCATCATACCTCAAAACTGGAATATGTTTGCTTTTTGATGAGAAGTATTGGAAGACGGTTTTGTTGGGGTTGACAGTCAATCCCCAACGCTGGAAGTAGTCTCGGAGAGTGTTCAGGTAGCCAGTGAGGGCTGCTTTTGCAACCTGCATAGTACTGCCACGGCAAGCAATGGTTATATCATCTGCATATATGTAAGTTTGTATGCCATTTTGTTGGGGTATATCCATCAGCAGCAGGTTAAACAACAGGGGACTCAGGACAGCTCCCTGTGGTACACCCGCTTCCAGCACTTGGGGACCAGAAAGAATGCCAATAACGTTAATATAATCAACAAGCATTAAGAAGAAACATTACTTCAACTAGACGTCACTTGTAGTCAATATAATTCGCGCGTCTCCGTCACATCAAGAGATATGAGAGCTCATCTTTTGAGGCCAAGATGCATTTCATTTATTCAGTGAAGTAGTCGTAAAACTAATAGAGAATAAGTGTTTACTGCGCAATTGGTTGATGAAGTTTTATGTAATGTTGTATGCTGATAACGCGCGTTCAAAATGTGGGATTAGTATGAGAACAGAGGCTCGGCTGCGCGTCGGGCAGAAACGCCCGCAACTTCAACATGGCTGGCTTCGGAGGAATCCTCTCTACGAGCTTCGTGATATTTTTATTTTCAATTCAAGGTGAGAAATAAAAGTTTTATGTCTAACAAGAAGGATACGATCAAGTAGATTACCTGACAACATTAAAAAATGCAAATTGTATTATTATGCAAGGAAATCTTTTCGTCCGCACGGGGATGCAGAACTTGAGAAGGCATCAGACACGGTCAGGCTTTGATATAGACAGAAACGACTTTTTGGCCAGAGTGTATTGTTGAAATTTAGCTTTGTGTATGAAGTTGAATGCCAACCGAGAAAGTTTCATGTATATATTATAAAAGGAATGCTGTTTTCACTTTAAGGACATGTTCAAATTTTCCCCTGACATCTATACCTATATATATATTTGACCAGGAGACTGCTCTCCATGGAGGACACTTGTTTCCCGATCTTCATAACTGCTGCAAGTTCTACCGGTGCGCCAATGACGTTACTTCCTCATGAGCTGTCCTCCAGGCTTGTACTACTCACTTTCTTCGGAGAGATGCCACTACCCCCG